ACAAAAGGAACAATAGCCTTTCTATTCTTTGGATACATATCACCGAATTTCTCTCTGTACCAATTTAAATTACTTTTTTAAATAGCTATCTATTGACCACCCAATATTTTGTTTAACACAACTTGATATATCAGAATAGAATTTCGGGCATTTCCGTTTGCAGAGAAATTATTGTTTCTTATATAATTAATAAAAATATGTAAATATGTAGTAATAAAGCGGTGCAATTCCAAATGACAAATTCTCAGGTGATTCGTGTTGTAAAAGAATTTATGCAGATATCGTGTAATCTCAATCACGAAATATTTCTATCCACAATAATTTTTTTTTTTTTTACACAAACTGAGGTAAAATTCTCGTTATTCAATAATTAATGAAAAAAATAGCCCTGTTACGTACCATGTAGAGCTAGTTGATACTTGTGCTAATAAAATGTATATTTTTATTTTTATTTTTATTTTTATAATTATCTATACCGAGTGTTTCAAAAGTTCCAGAACACAGTCAAGTGACATACATTGAGATCACGATAATTATTTATATTTTCATAAATGATCTCTATGCATAAAGTCCCTTAAAAAAAAAGTTTCTGAAACTTTTGAAACACCCGGCATAGTATAAATCGTCGAAAAAATTATATCCGAAATTAATAATCATCGACTTTCATATATACAGTTAGTCGTCTATGGAAAATCTATCATGATGATAGATTTGCTAACTAATGTACACAAAATGTAATTGAGTCCGATGACAGGTTTTTGACGCATTCATATGTACCCTGACTATTACAGTATCGGGAACACCCTAGTTTGATGTGATTTTATATGGGTAATGGACTAGGACTTAGCTAAGTGATGTCATGCTTTAGCCATCCCCCTAAATATGTAGGGTACATATTAGTAATTCCAGACAGAAATAAAATCTAAATGACGAAGTAACACCAAATATTTCTCGCAAAATTACATCCATGTTTCTGTCAGACGTTACTAATAATCCCTTAATGGAAAAATTCTTGATTCAAACGAAAGAATTTGTAACGTGGACACAACAAAATGAACGTGAATTTTTTGAAGAAGTTATGAAAATTAATTTCTTTGTTCCGTTAGTTTTTTTGGGTGGGACGCTTTTTATCACTGCTCCTTATGGTAAGCTATTTGCAAAAACTTTTTTAATTCAACATTTCACATTTAATTTATAAACTCAAATATTGTGTAATAGGAAAGTTTCAATGGAATAGTTTAAGACTTCCGGGAAAATTTGCGTGGTTGTTTCAAGAGTCCTTTTCACCTATAGTATTTATATACAGTTTTTTTATAAAGAATCTTTTCTCCATTACCATTTTCACTGACGCAACTTATACTACAACTCAAATAATTCTTGCTTCATTCTGGATAATACATTATACAAACAGAGTGATAATATATACTTATCGAGCTCCAAACATTGCACCTATTCATATATTACCTGTGCTTGTTGCTATATTTTATAATATTATTAATGGATATACTAATGCACGTTGGATTTCACTTTTTGGTAGAGATAATTACCTGTATGATGAAAATGGACAGGACATTTGTAAAACACCAAGATTTATTCTAGGTGTTTTTATTTTTTTATTAGGAATGATGATTAATATTCATCATGATAATATTTTATTTTCATTACGAAATAATCTTGATAAATCCACTACTAAATCAGAATCTGTTAAAGTAATAACTAATACAAATTCTTCTAGTAGATATGTAATTCCAAATGGTGGATTGTTTAATTATATAACATGCCCACATTATTTTGGTGAAATAATTGAATGGATAGGTTTCGTAATTGCAACTTGGTATAGTTATCCTGCAGTTTTGTTCTTAATGGCTACGATTGCGAATCTTGTACCGCGAGCGAAAAGTAATTTAAATTGGTACAGAGAGAAATTCGGTGATATGTATCCAAAGAATAGAAAGGCTATTGTTCCTTTTGTTTGGTGATTTAATCATTTATTGTAATATTATTGCCATTTTGTATTTGACATGTTATGTAAATTTTTTCTCTCGTAAAATACACTTTCTTACACATTGCTTAAGAATTTTAAATGTTCTTTTTTTTAATCTATCATTCTTGTTTTTAAACTGGTAATACGCATGACATTATTATAGCTTCACTTGACTAAATTTCAAAATTGCCTTCCAAAAACGATGCCAAAAAATTCTGTTTTTTTTTTCTCCTCTTTTGATATCACTAAGTAATTGATTCATTGATATAATTCATCTCAAAATTGTAAATTATTGATGATGCATTGAAGAAATGATTGAATCTTGGCAAAATGATGTTTGATGCTTGATATATTTGTTAAATCAATTGGCATTTGAGTTGATGAATTTGATTAAAGTCGACATACAAGAAAATATATATATAAAAAAAGAAAACTTATAAACTTATTAAAGAGTAAACTTTTAGAAACGATATATTCATTTATTTTAAACAGACAAAAAAATTGGACTCACAAAAACAAATTTATAAAGTCAATCATATTTTTATCATCTTTTCTTTAAAGAAAGAAAATGACATATAAAATTTTCTCTCGCTTCTTTCCAATCCTTTTAATTCTTCTAATCACCATAACAATACTTAATGCCGCCGATCCAATTACTACCCAACCTGTCAAAAATCAATCTTCAAAAAGTAAAACTGAGAGTAACACCCAATGTTATCACCCTATTTGCCGCCTCATTTTCGGCATGTGTAATTGCGATTCCCGTAGGTTTAGCCGACTTTGTTCCATAGTGTTTAATAGTCGTGGCTGTAATAATTTTAATTTGATCTGGATTTGGATTTCCAGGCAATGAATTGTAATCGTGATTATAATTTTGTGTTGGGGTTGGTGATGGCGATGACGATGATAACAAAGGTTGAGTGACTGTTGAGAATGTCGGTCGAATTTGTGAGGTGGAAGATAGTGTTTGAGTTTATAAATTAAATGTGAAATGTTGAATTAAAAAAGTTTTTGCAAATAGCTTACCATAAGGAGCAGTGATA